GCTCAGAGCCTGGAGCCTGCTTCAGTTTCTGTGTCTCCCTCTCTCTCTGTCCCTCCCCTACTTCTCTGTCTCCCTCTCTCTCAAAAACAAATAAACATTTAAAAAAATTTTTAAGTAAATAAATGAAGTGCAGGGGCGCCTGGGTGGCTCAGTTGTTTAAGCGTCCGACTTCAGCCAGGTCACGATCTCGCGGTCCGTGAGTTCGAGCCCTGCGTCAGGCTCTGGGCTGATGGCTCAGAGCCTGGAGCCTGCTTCCAATTCTGTGTCTCCCTCTCTCTCTCTGCCCCTCCCCCGTTCATGCTCTGTCTCTCTCTGTCCCAAAAATAAATAAACGTTGAAAAAAAATTTTTTTTTAATAAATAAATAAAAATAAAAAAATAAATAAACGTTAAAAAAAATTAAAAAGTAATAATAAATGAAGTGCAGTACTCTATGGAAAATAGTTCTGCTTCAGCGAGGTTCATGGGTATGCTACCAGAGCATTCTGAGTATTTCAAATTAACTTCTTGGCTTGGGTTCTTTTTTTCAGGTAATCAGGTAGTATGCATTCTTTTCACAAAACCTTGGGTGTAAGGCTTGGTGGTTAGGAATTCTCAAACTTTGTCTCCCCAACCCGCCTCACCATAAGGCTGAGACCAGCACATAGCTTTATTAATTCTTTACCAATTCTCTCTTCTGGGAAGATTTTTTTCCCATCAGCTGAGGATATCACCCCTCCGGAGTCTAGGTTGTATGTGTGTAATGGGAAAATTTGATTCCACCTTCCACCCTGCTCCGGTCCAGGTTTTGTCCAGTCTATACTCTCGGGGCCTGTAAAGACCCAGCTCTGGGCACCCTGAGACAAAGAATATAGCCCCATAGCAAACCCCAGATTCCTCCCTCCTTTACCCAAGAGGATTTTCTCTTTCTTTTTTAAATTTCTTTAATGCTTATTTATTTTTGAGAGACAGAGTACGAGCAGAGGAGGGGAGACACAGAATCCAGAGAAGGTTCCAGGCTCTGAGCTGTCAGCACAGAGCCCGACACGGGGCTTGAACTCAAGAACCGCGAGATGACGACCTGAGCCAAAGTCAGATGCTCAACCGACTGAGCCGCCTGGGCACCCCCATTTATTTTTAACTTTTTAAAATTGCTCTTTCTTATTCCAGCCGTCAGGGATTTCCTGTATTCTCCCACCAGATCAGCCATGCATTAGGTAAAGATTTTTCTTCCATTATTTCATCCATCATTTTTAGGTGCATAGACCTGAGAAGAATTGCACTTATTATACAGCGAGCCATAGTGCTGAAAAGAATTTTGAAATTAGTTTTTACTAAGTAGAACTGTGTATTTCTCTGATCTATATGCCCCCGCAAACAATTTTACAGCATCACTTTAGAGACACGAGCTCCCGGACCTTAAGAAAGAAAATCTTGGAGCGTAGGGTTAGGGGGTGTTTGCTATGTATCACTGAGGATTAGGCCCACAGGTGAATCTGAGCTGACTGGACGATGTGTACTTAAGATACAAACCTACTTACTACATCTTGCAACTGCTGTCATCGACCACATCTTTATCAGGCCTGCACTCTCGGCCAGAGTCATCATTAAATCATCCCGGGGCCAAAGGAAGTTCTCAGTACCTGTGCTTATTCTTAGCCAGTAAACTTACTCTGTTTTATCCTAACAAAGTATTGACAAGTCACATGACACCCTCTGAGTTATAAAGGAGGCCTCCTTTGTGAATGGGATAGCTAGTTCACAGAAAGAAATTTGCTTCACTGCAAGGCCGTCATTAGGATGCACCCCACGTGCCCCACCGGCTTCTTGGGGCCTTATCCCTGGATGCTTATCGTGTTAGTGTCATTCCTTCGTCACTCAGCCGAAACATCGCGAGTGCCTACCAGGTGCCAGGCAGATCCTGGTCGTGGGAGGAAGATACCAACGTGATCCTGGCCCTGGACAAATTCGCTTTCTATTGGAAACAACAGAAACGTACATGCGAATTACAGTAAAAACCACTAAATGCTGCAAGTTAGGTACAAACATAGTTATTTACCTCAGAATACGTCATTCTTTTTTGAGATGTTATTGAAATATAACGTTATATTAGTTTCAGGTGCACAGCATAATGATTTGATATATAGACAGAGAAATGATTACCACGAGTTTAGTTACCATCCATCACCATCCGTAGACAATTCTTTTTCTTCTCCTAAGAGCCTTTAAGATCCGCTCTCTTAGCAAGTTTCAAATATATAATACAGTATTGTTAACTATAGTCATCATGCTGGACATGACATCCCCAGGATTCATTTATTTGATAACTGAAAGTTTGTCCCTTGTGACCCCCTTGACTTACCTCTCTCCCGAACCCCGCCCCTGGCCACTGTCAGTCCATTCCCTGTAGCCGCGAGTTCAAGTTCAGGTTCCACATACAAGTGACATCACATGGTATTTGTCTTTCTCTTGGACTTATTTCACTGAGCATAATGCCTCCAAGGTGTATCTGTGTGGTCACAAGTGGCGGCACACTGTCTAACCACAGCCGCTGCACGAGTTTACATCCCCACCAACGGTGCCCAAGGCTCCCTTTTCTCCACATCCTCGCCAACACTTGGGATCTCTTATCTGTTTGCAATAGCCATTCTACCAAGTGTGAGGTAAATAGCTCACAGTGGCTTTGATTTGTATTTTCCTGGTGAGTCGTGATGTGGAGCACCTTTTTACCATGCCTTCTTTGGAAAAATGTCTGTTCTGATCCTCTGCCCATTTTTTTTTTCTCAGATTTCTTGGGTTTTTTTGCTATTGAATTCTAGAAGCCTTATATACAGTTTGGATATTAACCTCTTATCAGATATCTGATCTGCAAATATTTTACCCCATTTCATTCCGCTGAACGTTTCCTTTGCTGTGCAGAAGCCTTTTAGTTTGACAGAGTCCCCCTTGTTTATTTTTGCTTTTGTTGCCTTTACTTTTGGTGTCTTTATTAAGACTGAAACACTTTAACATTTCGAAAGTATCTTGAATGTGACAGTGAATGGCTGGACGTTGGATTCGAACGTGGGACGGAGGGTTCTACTCCCCAGACGTGGCGTCTTAGATCCAAGTGCCTCCCTGCACCGGGGCCATAAGAGGATGACTACCTACTAGCTCTTGCCTTCATGCTCACCACCTAGAAAACCTGCCACCTGCCACGCATGATGGTGCTGGGCAGAGTTTGATGCTCAAAGCACAGTGTCATGGGCGAGGAACTTGTGTGTGAGCACCGCTGGTTTGAGTTCCCATCTTTCAGGTTTTCCAAATTTTTGCATTTGAGAGGCACTGATGCTGCTGCATAAGTGTAAGCATCCTGAACTTGGCACCTGACCTTTGTCACTCAGAGGGCTCATCTGTGAGTTTGTTAACTTATTAGACACCGCACCGTTTCCTCTAGGTTATTATGACAAGCAACTGAAATGATGGGAGTCAACGTGTAAAAACGAGTGTTATGAATTTGTTGAGTATTATCATTATCATTATTATTAGAGTAATATCAGAGTGTTAGAGCATGTTTTGGTATTTGATTTCTTACCTACTTTATATTTAAAGTTAGTAAGGAGTTAATTTTCATAGTTTCTTCATGTAAATTAGCTCTGGGAATATATTAAAATAATTATGACAAGTTAACCAAATGACTTGAATGCTGACAAAAAAATTTGCTTAGATGCTATAGAAGCCAAAATGGAGGGATTCTATTTGGATTAACATGTTGAAATATTTTAGATATAGACCGTGTCTTGTACTGAATATACACGTGTCTTGTACTGAATCCAAAAATGTACCAATCCACGGGGTGCCTGGGTGGCTCCGTTGGTTAAGCGTCCAATTCTTGGTTTCAGCTCTGGTCACGATCTCGTGGTTCGTGAGATCGAGCCCCAAGTTGGGCTCTATGCTAACAACACGGAGCCTGCTTGGGATTCTCTGTCTCCCTCTCTCTCTCCCCCTCCCCTGCTCTCTCTTTCTCTCTCTCTCAAAATAAATAAATAAACACTTTTTAAAACGTACCAATTCTTTTTCTGCACACGTCATCCAATATCGAAGTAAGCGGGAAAGACAGCAGCGTCTGAGTGATTAGACAGGAGCAGAATGAATGTCTGCAGTGGTTGCATGAAACGCCCCCTCCTCCTGTGCTGAGGGTCGGGGATGACTCAGTCCTCTGCGTGAACAGCGTTTGCAAACATTTCTGAGCGCTCGCCGTGCGATAGACCCCGAGGTAATTCATAGCATCACCTCACGACACGTGTCAGATACTAGTCCCACGCCTTCAAAGAAACACACTCCGTGCTTGAGACCCCCAAAGGCACTAGGCATTTTTTTACTTCCATCTAAGAGATGAGACCTTTCAGAGAGGTGAAGGGGCGTCTCAGAGTCACCCACCCGGCTGCGGCTGGGACGGGAGCCCGGGCAGATGTCCCCTGAGCCCAGAGTCCTCACATGGGCTGTTCCCGGCTCTCTCTGCATCCCCAGCCACGTCAACTTTGTTTCCTGCTTCTGGCTCCTGAAGACAGAAGACCATTCCCCAGGTGCAAGAATGAAGGGTAACAAGATGAAGAACATTTAAATGTCCCACTCTCCAGCTTTGGGCAACCGTGTAACTCCCTTGATCCTCGATGGAGAATAAAAGCAAGGACACTCTCCTGACAAAGCACCGAACAAAGAAGTGTCTGTAGAGCACTGATCACCCTGCCTGCACATTGGACACCTGATAGATGTTATTTATGACAATTATTCAAAACAACAAAAGAGAGGATCTCGCACTGTAAAATCAAGCCGTGTTTTCTTAGCTTGCAAGCGAAGGGCCCATGCCAAGAGAAGTATATCCCATCCATGTCAAACCTTGTCCACCACTTGCCAAGTGACTTTGTGTTTGTGCTGCCTGAAGACACTTCTGTCTCGAAGAAGTTCCCATATCGGTGTTTCAAGGAACCTCAACCCTGACATAAAGATCCGAATTTCAACTCTTTTTGTCTTTATTCGCAGGCCTACAGAGTTGACGAGAAGGCCGCGGAACAAGCTCGGTGGGAAGAGGCCTCTAAAGAAACAATCAAGAAAACCACCAAGCCCTGTCCCCGTTGCCATGTGCCAGTTGAAAAAAATGGTGAGTCTGGGCTACGGAAAAAGTGAGGATTTGGTGAGCTTCTTGGAGAACATGAGCTGCGTGGTTATAACAGCCAGGAATTCTGGGAGGACGTGTAACTGAATAATAGTTCAGCACTCAGGGAATTGGGAACCGTCGGCCAGAGTGCAAATCTCTCCGCTGTCCCACATCAAGTCTCTTAACTGCCTAAGCCCACGGTCCTCCTCTGTCAAATAGAGATGAAAATAGAAGGTGTCCCCCAATAGTAGAAGCATGAGACGTCATGCAGGGCAGATACTCGGCCAAGTACCTGGCATAGAGAAAGCACTCCATAAACCCTAATTACCCTTATTATTATTTATTATTAATAATATTAGGCACTTTGTATCTGGTAAGTTGTCTACTATATATATATATATATATATATATATATATATATATAACCTTGGACTGTGAGTAACTTGTTCTGCTAGTGTTCCACAAGATGAGCAAATATTTCTAATAAAGTTTAGCTTGATAGATGAGCGATATCTTTTGCAATACGAGTCGTACGTGATGCCGAATGTCACATGATCACAACTGAGCCAATGGTTCTTAAAATTCACTTTGATACACAAGTGCTTTGAATTAAAAGTATGTTTCGGAGTGAATTATGCTTGCAAACCAAGGTTTTACTATATATATATATTTTTTAAATATATATATATATATATATATATATATATATATATATATATATATATTTCCTAGTCCAGTATTTCTCACTGTATCCCCCATAATATTCTGGTGTCTAGAGACACTCAGTGGGTAAAGGAGGAATGTCCCCATGCCAAATACATTTGCCAGGTCATTCCTACTAGAGCCCCCTCTTGGATAATACCAACAACACAATTAACTTGTATTGAGCATTTGTTCTATGCTTGTTCTAGGTTCCTTACAATTATCACATCATTTAGCCCTCACAGGACTCGCATAAGGAAGCTATTCTTATTATACCCGCTCACAATATACATTGGCAATCCAGACTTCCTTCTGTAAAAGAAATCTGTTTAATTTTGTTTAATGGACAGGTTCCCACTTCTTTTGGCCATGATATTCTTTTTTTCCTCCTCACACCCACTTGTGTACCTTTCAATGGCAGCACACACTCTGGGCTCTGATGTCCCCATCCCTGCTGTGGGACATTTAGTCCTTGACGTTACTACGACACTTGCCCCCTTTAGTAGAGTATCCTTCGCGTGAATCTGTTTCTCAATAGAGGTATTCCTTTGGCCTTCTACCAACTCCTCTCTAAATTTTGAGAACGTGAACTGAAACTTTGGGGATGCCGCTGGATTAGCTGACATTAACTGCAGGCGGTCTTTTAGGAGCCCACAGTTGTACCCTGGTTTGCGTGAGTCAACAGGCTTAGAATCACAGGGGCCACACTCGAACGGTTCTCTCCCTGATGATGCTCCAAACCCAAGGCATCAACTCCCAAGAGGGGCTGCTCTTCCTTCCTTACACACCCCGTCACACCCGTGCCTCCTCATAAATGCTGGAGGCCACCGTGCCTACAGGGACACCGGGGAGAGCTGGCAGACGGAAGGACCGCCCTTCCTGATCCCGTCCTAATGGACAAGTGACCCCTGTCATACGTTGTAAGACACGGAGGGAGGCCCGCTCAGCTCCGCGATGCTGTGTCTACACTTGCAGCTGCGGTGTTATTCTCCTCTTGAGTGTGCCCTGCTCCCACGATCGCATGGCCGTCCTGTTGCCTGCCGGCCATCATTGCACAACCCGCCTCTGCTCTGCGGCATTCAGTCTATATTCAGAGTTGTACTTTGGGCCACCCCGTTCACGGTCAGTCTGATACCCTGCAGCAGCCAGTGGGGTACCTGCCGCCGTCAGTCCTGGATGTGCCGGCCAGCTTAAAGCCATCATGGCCCGGTGCCGGAGCCCGTCCTAAGTGTCAGACACCTCTGCGTGGGTGAGGTAGGGGCGGCAGCCCTGCCCGATGAGAAGTAAAACGAAGCACCAGGTACACTTTTCCCACACTCTCCCCACTAAGCATGAGCGGCACCTGCCCGGCAGGCCTCTAACGGCTGGCCTGCCGTGGCGTGAAGCCGGGCAGTCTGGAGGTGCGCCCCCCCGCCTCTCTTTCCTCGATCATGCCCTTTAGGAGGTCTTTATTCTTGCAAAGGGGAGAGTGCGAGCACATCCCAGAGCGGCAGGAACGGGGCTCAGTTCAGGCCAGGTCCCCGGCGGAGTCAGTGGTCTCCTGGCAACAAATAGATCCGCGTGCGCCGTGAGCCGCTGTTCTCCTCCGTGCGCTGGGTTGTGCCCTGGGTTGACACTCCAGTGCGCACAGAGGACGTCAGCAGAGCCAGGGGCAAGACCTCTTCCGGTCCTCACCGCTGGAGCAGTGATGCAGTGTAGACAACCTGAGGTCAGAGGAGACGCAGAGACCCTTCACCAACGCTCACTTCACGATGCAAGTTCAGTAGCGAGACACCGTTCTGTTATCACCAAAGGTCAGGAGCCTTGTCTGTCTGTCCCCCAGGCCCAGAAGAGTCCTGACAGATATCTGTTGAATTAACAAGTAGCTAGTAAATACATGAACAGATATTTTATATAAAATATGAGAGAGAGAGCAAGCTAGCAGAGCACAAAAGCCTGAGGGCTAAGAGTTGTCTTCCCGGAGGGGCGCATGGGGGCTCAGTGGGTTAAGCATCCGGCTTCCGCTCAGGTCGTGATCTCACGGTTTCTGAGTTCAAGCCCCGCATGGGGCTCACTGCCATCAGCACGAAGCCTGCTTTGGATCCTCTGTCCCCCTCTGTCTCTGCCTCTGTCTCTCTCTCTCTCTTTCAAAAATAAAATAAAAATTATTTATTTATTTTATTTTTATTTTTTTAACATTTATTTATTTTTGAGACAGAGAGAGAGCATGAACAGGGGAGGGTCAGAGAAAGAGGGAGACACAGAATCTGAAACAGGCTCCAGGCTCTGAGCTGTCAGCACAGAGCCCGACGCAGGGCTCGAACCCACGGACCACAAGATCATGACCTGAGCCCAAGTTGGACGCTTAACGGACTGAGCCACCAAGGCGCCCCTAAAAATTATTTTAAAAAAGGTTCCCCAATCCACCATTTCTTTGAAATAGCGTGACTTAGTATAAATGGAAAGCACTGATTTTTCACCTATAGATTTTTAACCTATGAACAGAAAAGTTGAGACTTTAAACTTATTAATGATAGTCTCCACTGATTTCAAGCATGCAGCAGAGATACATGTGAGCTCTATGGGCCAGAAAAGCTCGTTTCATGATCTCGTCCTCAAAGTAAATTCATGATCTATTTCATGGTCATCTGAATCCCAGAAAGTCGTTCTTTGTGCAGCAAAGCCGTAATGAAAATGAGGCTCATTTCCATCTTAAACATAGGCTAAGCCTGCACTTCCTCCTGCAGCCTTCCACCCCGGAAAGTGGCTTCCTTCATTTCTGCCTCAAACAGATGAGATTCCAGTCCCATTCTCTGATCAAAAAGTGCCAGGATGTTCAAGAACTTCTCCTCTGTCATTAAACCTAATGAAAGAGTGGCTGGCCCCAGCCACGGGGCTGACGGGGCATAGGCTGGGCGTTTCATGGTTTGAGCATCAGTCGGTGGATAGAATTCTCTATGAGGGAAGCCATGTTTTTTTCATTCAAATGCCCTCAAAGTCACGTGAAGTTGTCAGCTTCTTGCTCACATTTACTTTTAAGTTGGCAAAGCTTTGGGACACCTGGGTGGCTCAGTTGGTTAGGCATCCAACTCCTGGTTTCAGCTCAGGTCATGATCTCACCATTTGTCAGATGGAGCCCCAAGTCAGGCTCTAGGCTGATAGCTCCGAACCTGTTTCAGATTCTCCCTCTCCCTCTCTCTCTGCCCCTGCCCCACTCTGGTATGCTTGTGCTCTCTGTCTCTCAAAAGAAATAAATACACTTTTAAAGAGAAGCTATGACCCAGCAATCGCACTGCTAGGAATCTACCGAAGGGACACAGGAGTGCTGATGCATAGGGGCACCTGTACCCCGGTGTTTATAGCAGCACTTTCAACAGTAGCCAAATTATGGAAAGAGCCTAACTGTCCATCAACTGATAAATGGATAAAGGTGTGGTTTATATATACAATGGAATATTACCTGGCAATGAGAAAGAATGAAATCCTGCCATTTGCAGCAACATGGATGGAACTGGAGGGTATTATGCTAAGTGAAATAAGTCAGTCAGAGAAAGACAGATACCATGTTTTCATGCATATGTGGATCTTGAGAAACTTAACAGAAGACCGTGGGGGAGGGGAGGGGAAAATAGTTACAAACAGAGAGGGAGGGAGGCAAACCATGAGACTCTTAAATACAGAGAACTAAGGGAAGATGGGGTTGGGGGAGAGGGGAAAGTGGGTGATGGGCAGGGAGGAGGGCACTTGTTGGGATGAGCACTGGGTGTTGTATGGAAACCAATTTGACAATAAATATATTCTAAAAAATAAAAAAATAGACATTACAACATGATTTTTTAAAATAATAAAAATAAATAAATACAAAAAAAAAAAGAAGTTGGCAGAGTTTTTAGAATTAGAGTCCCTGATTCTTCTCCATATTATGAGATCTAGCATACTGCCTTGCATATATTAAGCACCAAGGTGGAAAAGAAAGTTAATAACATGAATATTCTTTCTTCCTACTTCCTTTCTTCTTATTCTACAGAGCCATTATGTTTCTAGTTGCTGTAACGAAATCTCATTTGTAATGTTAGTATTCCATACCCGTGAAAATTTGGTATAGTAGGAAAACATTATATTATTTATGTCATAAATGTACAGTCATTAAATCTGTGTGGAAGATTACACAGTCCTGCCAATGTGTAATCCTAAATGAGAAATATTAAGACGAAAGTAACATAGGTGAGTTTTTCCCCTGATTTTCTGCATATTTATAATTTTTTTTAAATTTTTTTTCAATATATGAAATTTATTGTCAAACTGGTTTCCATACAACACCCAGTGCTCATCCCAAAAGGTGCCCTCCTCCATACCCATCACCCACCCTCCCCTCCCTCCCACCCCTAAATGATCTTTAAAACAAACCAAAAGGAAGTTGGAAAAGTATGGGATTTTAAATGCCCTTAAATTATCCTAAAACAAATTCCTTCAGTTACATATTCATAAATATTTTAAATCGGTGGAAGTTCTTATGCCAGGTTTCTAATAATAAAAATGAGACAGTACTGAAGCAATTACCTAGAAAATTTGGCAAGAAAAAAAATGACTTAACAAGATAATTGGTAAAATTGAATAATAGAGCACATCCAATGTTATATCGAGTTCAAGCAAAGAACTGCTTTTGCCTGAATTATCTAGGAAATTCGATCAGAAGCCATTCTCTACATGTAACTTCACACGAGTAACTCCCTCTGCACTCCACCGCAGACTTGATGTCTGAGCCCCAGAAGCAAATAAGAAATGAATTTAACAAGTGTGGGAAGGGGCGGAATCCCAAAGTGAATCCCCGAATAAGGGACCTTTCATCTCGTGCGGCAAAGGCCCTGTTCCGTGAAAGAACAACAGATCCTGGTTAAATCTCAGACTTTGCCGTTTAAAAGTCCTTGGCCTTCAGAAAATTCTAGAACAGGGTAACACTGCTGTCTCACAAAGTGCTTTTGAGGAGTGAATGAGGTAGTACATGCAGCGCCCCCACTTCTCCCCGTCTGCTCACCCTAAATAAAAGTTTGAATCGCATTAAGGGCTGCGTTCCCTATGAGATACTTTCAATACTGCTGTCCCAACTCCTGTTTCAAGCCAAGTTATATTATATATTCCATATTAAGTTGCTAAGTATATTAACATCTATTTAAAACATCAACCTTGATATATATTTCAGTAAGGAATTGACCCCGTTTGTGAAACACAAGGCATTTGTCTCTAAGTCCCATTTCAGGAGAAGTAAATAAAGTCAGATTTATAAATAAAATTAGTCCTAGATGATGTTTCACCCTCACTCCTTTTTTTTTTTTTTTTTTTTTTAATTTTGGGGGCGGGAGGGGCAGAGAGAGAGGGAGACACAGAATCCGAAGCAGGCTCCAGGCTCTGAGCTGTCAGCACAGAGCTGGACGCGGAGCTCGACCCCACGGACCGTGTGATCATGACCTGAGCCGAAGTAGGAACCCTTAACCCACTGAACCACCCAGGCGCCCCTCATCTTCACTCCTTTCTTGATGAAGGTCATTAACTGCACAACTTCCAGGGAGCTTTCCAACGGGTTTGCCTCAGTCCACATTCTGCCCTTGGATTGCTTGAGACATTCCCTTAGAAACCCTTTTCTTTTCTTTTTTTTTTTCTTTTTTTTTTTTTTTAAGTTTATTTATTTACAGGGCGCCTGAGTGGCTCAGTCGGTTAAGTGGCAGACTTCAGCTCAGGTCATGATCTCGGGGTTGGTGAGGTCCAGCCCCACCGTCAGCTCGGAGCCTGGAGCCTGCTTTGGATTCAGTGACTCCCTCTCTCTCTCTGCCTCTCCCCTGCTTGTGCTCTCTCTCTCTCTCTCTCTCTCTCTCAAAATAAATAAACATTTTTAAAAATTGTAAGTTTATTTATTTTTGAGAGAGAGAGAGTGAGAAGGGGAGGGGCAGGGAGAGGGGGGAGAGAGAATCCCAAGCAGGCTGTGCGCGGACAGCGCCCATGTGGGGCTCGAACCCACCAACCGCGAGATCATGACCTGAGCCGAAACCAAGAGTGGGACGCTTAACCAACTGAGCCACCCAGGTGAGCCAAAAGGCATTTCTAGACCGGGGTGCCGGTGCGGGAAGTGGTGTCATCCAGGCGTTCACCTGTGTCCTTTGCCCGCCCGCAGGAGGATGCATGCACATGAAGTGCCCGCAGCCCCAGTGCCGTCTGGAGTGGTGCTGGGCCTGCAGCTGCGAGTGGAACCGCGCCTGCATGGGGGACCACTGGTTCGACGTGTAGCTGCAGCCCTGCGCGCGCCCCCTGCCGGCCGGCTCGGAAAGGCGCGCGAGTCCCGCCATGCCCTGGTCTTCTGTCTCCAAATGCTCGCTCTCTCTCTCTCTCCCTCTCTCCCTCTCTCACACGCACACGCAGCCCTCAAGGTCCTTCCAAAACTACAAAAACAAAGTCAGAGGAGAAGCTCCTCGCATCTCTTGCTTTGTGCCCATGAAAAAGAGCGAGAAGTATTCTCAGGCCTCAGCAATACGCACAACCCAGAGCAGAGGTGAAAGTGCGGTTCCGCTTTTTTGTGTGGATGGCCATTCCCGCGTCATTTCGAGTCAGGCTAGACACGTACATAGAGATTCCTCAGGTTTTTTTCATTTCTCGCATTTTACCTTCAGCAACGACTGGGTGAGTTCTCTGTAAGACTGACCGCGACGGATTCTGAGCACTGTACTCACTTTAAGAGCAATGTTCTCATTTAAGGTTTCAGAGAGCATCTGTTCCCGAAGAACCACAGGCAATAGTCAAGACTGCCTTTATCCCCAAGAATCCTACTATATATATATAACATTGACGGAACATCAACTAATCGGCTTGTCAACTAGTGAGAAATTATGAAAGCTGATTTGAATGTTGAATGATTAAATTCCAGGAGAGAAATCAAAACTCCATGTACTTTCATTCTATTTCATTATTCGCGACTTTAGAAAGAACTTGTTTTTTCTGAAAATAATTACAAAGTCTATAATTCGGCCTCAGACATTCATTTTGCGGCTTGGAGAACAAGCTAGCACCTTTGGCTTCGCTGTAAATTTAATGGATAAGGGGCCCAGAGGGGAGACATTTTTATAAATGGCTTTATAATGGTTCTCAATGGTAACAAAAGTGCAGAGTGTTAAAGCAGGATCTTTAAAGAAGGAGCATTTCCGGGGCTATGGAAATGAGGCCAAACCTGATTCTGCACCACAGGAGTTTAAGCTGTCTCTGCACCTGCTCCGTGCCCCCATCTGCACACCCCAGGGGCTCTGCCTACCCAGTGGGTTACTCCAGGGAGAGCCCTTTTCTCTAGGACAGTACAGTGACACCAGAAGGTTTCCTCACATTGACATGGATCGAAATGGAGCCTTCACCAAGTTTTTGTCTTTTTTTTTTTTTTTTGAGGCATCCACAACACATCAAAAAGAGATATGTTTCACTAAATGCAACAAACCTCGTTTCCTACAGCACACCCTACAGATGAAAACGTATAAGCACCGTCGTTTGTTCTCATTGTCTGTCTTCTCAGGGACAATCGTGACCACAGCATAATGAGTTTCACTAGCCCATGGGGTCCTCTTTGGATGTAGGGCACCTGGAAATGATCAAATCGGTAGCAAGGCTTCTCTTTGTAGACATAGCACCAGAAATCCTTGCTAGGGAGAGAGAGGGAATGACCTCAGAATATTTCCCAAGGACCTCCGTCCCTCTTTCCCTAACCATCCATCCAGGGGCAGTCCTGCCTGATCTCCCTCTTCTCTCAGAGGCTAGACCTGGGACAAGATGGGGTGTGGCAGCCACAGTGGCATTAATAGCCTCATTTGGCTTCGCTCTGTCAGAAAATCCAGCCTCCCCAACGTGACCCCAAAGCTTCCAGACTCCCATCAGGAAGCCCTTAAGATCACAGAGAGGTCCTGGAGAGCCATCATCTGTGAGTGTGAGAAAAAGGAGGGTCAGTAGGCGTGAGCCCACGTGTCCCGGTATCAGCGATCAGTCCAAAACCCACTCAGGGACTGACTGCACAGTACTGACAATCCCAGTAAGTAGCAGCTTCTTACAGTGACCCAACGTGACAAATCCGATGGCTCCCTCTGTCATGTGGAGCACCCAGTGTTTTATAGCCACTATAGTTTTGGGGTTCAGCGATACTGTCGTTTTTGCTTCCTCCCAAGCTTGCATGGTGTGTTGGATGTGTGAAGCCCGAACAAGGGTTGCTCGCATGGGTTCGGGCACCGTAGAAGTTTCTAGGTCTCTGCTCCTTTCCTGGTGGTGGTCTCTTTTATTTTTTCTCCCAGAGGAGGACACTGAAACAAGGTAAAGAAAAAACAGCGTCTGTAAATGAATATGAGTCACAAACCACTACAAATGAACGTGTTTGAGCATGAATGCTGTAACCAAATGTGAATGTATCAAAAAAGGAGAAATAGAATCTTTGCGGAAGAATATTTCTCTCTGAAATGTGTAAAGGAATATTTGACAACTGAATCTAAGGTTGTACTCAACTTATCAATAAAAGCATCAAAAAAGCTGTTGAGTCCCTCTCTGAAGATATATTTCCAATAAATGCTGAAGGCGTGGGAGGGAAGCACAGGACACCTCGCTCCGGGAGCCTCCCCCGTGGCCTGAAGGGATCGCCTGGTCAAGCAATGGCCATTTTTATGGCCATCAGTTAAAAATCTAACGGTTACTTTCCTGCCTTATCAGCAAACTTTTCTAACAAATGCCCAAAACAGAAGTTTGAGTCAGGAAAAACCACAAGGATTTTCTCTGTAGTGTCATTTCAGAAAAGCTCAGTGACCTTGCGTCGCTGTTGACGTGGGTGTGTTGACACCGCATTTCTTTAGAACTATTTCAGTGGCTGTGAGTTGACAATGAGTCTGTGTTTGAGCAATCTGGAATGGAACATTCTTGGAGAGCTCCTATACATATAGCAGGCAAGCCACACACCATGAGGGCCCATTGGTACCAAGCACCACAGGAAACGCTCTGAAGAAACACAAAGTTGTTTGGAAGGGTGGCCCTGGTGCCGACTCTCATCTCCGCCGCTAAATTAGAGAGCTGGTGTCGTGAGTGGAAATGAATAAGCACAGAGGTGGAGGGCTTATTTGAAAAGAAGCAGCAGATGTGGGGGAAAGCCAGCATCATTGTTTGGGTGGGGTACGGGCTCCCACCAGCACCCTTGCCTGGCCATGTCTTGTACCATGGAAAGTATCGATGTCAGTTTTTGGAAGAAAACCCTATTTCTTTTGCTTTAAGGATTGTTTTTTTAAGAGAGAGAGAGAGAGCACACATGCAAGCATGAGCCAGGGTGGGAGTGTGGGGGGAAGAGAGAGAGGGGGAGAATTTCAACAAGGCTCCATGCTCATGAGGAGCCCAGTGCAGGGCTCAATCCCATGATCTTGGGATCATGACCTGAGCCAAAATCAGGAGTAGGATGTTCAACCGACTGAGCTACCCAGGCACTCCAAGAAAACCCTATTTCAAAACAACATTGAACCTGCCTCCCACCCCCTCTGAGTAAACTGTCCAACCCCAAACGTTTAAGAATTTCCACTGTGGTTTGGATAATCACGCAAAAAATAAGGTGAGAAGTGTTATCTGGGAAGACATTTGGCACACAATGGGTGACACTGTCTGGATGGGCCCACAGTGTTCCCTGATCCCATCATCCGATGCGTAGACTGAGAGAATCAACTTTGTCAGCATCAAGAGGTAATTGGATGCCAGAAGACTGACGCTAATCCAACTTCTGAGAGAACAAAGTACAAAACCTAGAACGTCAATTTAAATCTACATTTACAATGAGAAGCTCACACCCTGGTCTTCACACGTGATTTTCCATCTGCCTAGAATTTTACAGCCCTCTTCACAACCCTCCCTCTCCGCTTTGGCTGACCAATCTCAGGTCTCCATTTAATCAGCTTTTCCGGAAACCCTTCTCTTACCATCCTGGCCTTCATTGAGGGTCTTTGCCGTATGTTCCCAGAGCTGTGCTTCTTCCCACATCACAGCAATACCAGAAAATTCTCCAACTCTCCAGATAGCACCTGGGTGTCCTACAAGTCAATTCTGACACTACCAGGAGTAGGTGTCAGACCCCACAGGTTAGAGCTCAATTCCACAAGACTACCCTCACTTGAGACGTGGTGCAAGTCCCAGGTTACCACCTGTAATTCTCATTGGCTATGAATCCGGGGTTCCCATGGTTGCCTCCTCAGGCTCAGTAACCTGCTAGAATGACTCACAAAACTCAGGAGAGTGCTTTACTTACTACTACGGGCTCGTGATGAAGAGTACAGACTCAAGAATCACTGAATGCAGAGATGCATAGGGCAGGGATGGGATGGGATCAGATGTGTGTGCAGATCTCCCGTGTCCTCTGCAGGGGCCCCGCCTTCTCAGCACCAAGAGGGAAGCTCTCTGAAACCATTGTTTAGGGGTTTCTATGGAGGATTCATTAAGTAGACATGACTGATGAAATCATTGGCCATTAGGAATTAACTCCATCGCCAGCCTTCTGGAGACGGTTACAGACTGGGGCTGAAAGTTCAAGCCTCTAATCATACCTTGGTTTTTCTGGCAAACAGCCCCCATCTTGAAGCCATCTGGGCCCCCCCAACCACAGTCATCTCATTAGCATACAAAAGACGCTCATCACTCTACAGAGATTCCAAAGCTTTGGAGAGCCATGTGCCAGGAATCAAATATGTATCTTATGTTTATTTATACTTATTATAAGTATATATGTTATTTATATTTATATTACATATATAAGTATAATTATATCTGATATTTATAATAAGTATATATGTAAATATAGATATGTGGTGTTTATTATGTAAAACTTCACTCATTTATGGTCCCAGGAGCAGATAAGAACAGAACTGTCATGCTAACCTTTGTCTCTAGCCCTAGGCTTGCCACAGACCAGGCTCCCTAGCCAGGGAACTTCATGCTTGAATTCTGAAGAAATCTACACGGAAAATCAAGGTTCAGTGAAAAGCTTACTTGCTGAGCCTAGACTCAGAGCGCAGTAACTTAACGATGTGTTGACCAGTATTCCCCGGACAGATGTATCATTTTCCATTACAAACGTGTATCAGACACAAGCCAGGAAACCCTGGTGTCAGATGCGGTAACATTACCTCAAAGAGTTTCTGAGATATGTGGCCAAAGGGTTGGACTTTTAAACTCCCTATTATGACTTCACTGCCGTCCTTCCTCTCAGTGCCCCAGGTGACCTCACCTACGTGTCGAGTGTTCCTAAAAGCTCTCCAACTGCACCAGCAGCAAAGGCTTACTCTACTGTGTTTCCTTTCTACAGATGGTTTGTTTCATCCACGATTCTTGGATCTTTAATTTCAACCTCAGGGAAACTGCAGTGACATTTTTGAAGAATGCTATTTGCAATCAAATCTCCACTCAGTGTTCTTACCCTGTATAGTTTTCCTTATGTTTTTATTTATTTTTTTTTATAAAATAGGTATTCCTTTAGTATGTGCTCATTACAGAACATAAAGAAGGCAAAAAGAAAAACCACCATCTAGAAATAATTATTTTGCATCTTACGTGTTTCTACTTAAAGCATATGATAAAACATCTTCTTATGTCAATAGATACCTTTTTTTAATATTTATTTATTTTTGAGAGAGAGAAAGAGACAGAGCATGAGTGAGGGAGGGGCAGAGAGAGAGGGAGACACAGAATCTGAAGCAGGCTCCAGGCTCTGAGCTGTCAGCACAGAACCCGACGCGGGGCTCGAACCCATGAACCAGGAGATCATGACCTGAGCTGAAGTCGGACACTGAATCGACTAAGCCCCCCAGGTTCCCCTGTCAACAGATTTCTAAATTGACAATATTCCAGGGCTTCAACATGGTCTTCTGTATGCTAATTAAGTTAATAAGTATATCTTTTAAGCTTTCAGATCTAAATCAAAAGCATGTTTTTTATATAGTCATTAAACAATTTGGTTATGAAAAGTGTCCCGCAGCCCGAAAAATATGTTTGCAGTATAACGTTAAGTGAAAGGAGTTTACCAAAATTGTGTGTGTACTGTAACTAAAACTGTTGGAAAAATTCTAAGAAAAGAATGATTGAAGAACACACATTAAAATGCAGTTTGCTATGGTGATAAAATTATATGTGATTTCTTTTTTACTTGTCTCTACTTTCCGTGTCCTTTGGCAGCGTGAAAACTCACTTTAAATGAAAATAATAGTTTTTTTAATTTCCTGTGACAGTTAAAGTGGCTGATCTTGCATGCGGCCAAGGAGTGAAGCTTTTTCCACTCAGTAATTCTGTTCTTGAAGCACCTGAACTTGACCAAAATAACAAAACAGCAGACACACTCTACTGCTTCTTTCAGAGGAACTCTAGCCAACAAATTTGGGAGAGGTGGGCTGAGGGGCTGACTCTCTGGGAAGGTGCAATGGACCTGGCCACCCAGCACGAACGTGACGTTTCTGAGCTTCTCGTGCACCTGCTCGGCCCAGCACGGAGAGGGGTCCTGACCCCTGGAAAGACTCTTGTTCCGTAAAAGGCAAAGAAATAGAAGGTCAGCGTGCCAACCTACGTGGCCACTTCTGTCTTATTCATAGGAAAGAAAAAAAGGTTTTATGTTTCTGACTTCTCCCTCAAAAAGCATCTCTCCCAGTGCGGACTCGATCGATGTCAGGAAGCTGGAATAATCCGGCGGCAGCTAACAGAGTGTGAGAACTCAAATCAATGTCATGCAAGGGGTGATGACCTTATTTTGTTCCTGAGTGATGGGAAATACAAACCCGCTTCTCTCTTTTGTGTAGTAAATTGAACAAAATGGAATAAAGTCATTTTGATTTCTTTTTACAAATTTGAAATGCCGAGACGGTGTTGGGTGGAGACCACTGGATGAGGGCCGGCCCCGGGGCAGCACCACGCACTGGGGCCTCCGGAAGGTCCTGTCACCTCCCTGACGGCCGCTGCTGCTTCTGTGCCGCCGGCCTCTGCCGAGGCTTCCCCGATCCGTGCTCAAGCCAGACTCCTCAAGAGGCCAACATCTTGGACACTGATGCCTCCCAAAGGAGCTTATCCTACTAAAAATAGGATCTACTGGAACCACAGCGAGCCCTTGATACTCACAAGGGACCATCAAGTGGTATTCGAGAATCCCTAAATTGTGAAATGTCTCTCTGCATGAGCAGCTGGCTGTATTCTGGGGGCCGCTTGTCACAAAGACATTCAGATGTCACGATCTCACACCTGTTCTGTGCATCATCCCAGCGAGCCCTCACTCTCTACAGCCTGTGCCCCTGCAGTGACCTCCAGATGCAGTGTCTGAATCGGACACCCTCTTTCCCCACATCGCCTGTGCCCTCCCTCCCTCCCTGCAGGCGCTTGCTCCCTGTCCCTCCTCCACCCTCTCTGTCCCCCACACCACTCACCTGTCCCTTTTCTCCACACCACTCACCTGTCCCTGAATGCACTGTGCAGTTTACTTGTTTATCTCGTCTCTGCCTGTCTCCCCTACTAGAATGTTAACTATGGTGAC